TGAGGGGGAGTGTGGAGTGGAGACCCAAAGCCCATCTGTAGGCAATTGGACATCCCCATACGGAAGGGTTTCGAGGAGGAGATGAGCCAATCAGGGAGCAGTGTAGCAACGATGAAATATACAACTTTCCTCTAGTTCCTAAATGCTTCCTCCCCACCATCATGATCTCAATTCTACCTTACAAATCTGGCTAGACCAGAGGATGTACACTGGTATGGATGGGAACTGGAAACGGAATCCAGGGCAGATGATCCCTTCGGGGCCAATGGAGAGAGTGGCGACACCAGGAAGGTGGAGGGAGGTTGGGGTGGAAAGGGGGAACCAATTACAAGGATCTACATATAACCTCCTCCCTTGGCGACAGACAACAGAAAAATGGGTGAAGGGAGACATTGGAGAGTGCAAGATATGTGAAAATAATAATTTATAATTTATCAAGGGTTAATGAGGGAGTGGGGGAGAGGGGAGAAAATGAGGAGCTGATGCCCGGGGCTTAAGTGGAGAGCAAATGTTTTGAGAATGATGAGGGCAAGAATGTACAGATGTGCTTTACACCGTTGATGTATGTATGGATTGTGATAAGAATTGTATGAGCCCCTAATAAAATGATATAAATAAATACCTACTGCAGAGGTGCTTGAATGTTGGGGGTGATAAGAGCACCTCAAAAATCTGATGAAATCAATGGCCCTGCTGAAATCTGTTCACTTTGTGTGAACTGGTTGGCACTTAAAATACCAGTGCCATAGCTTTCAATATCTCAGCAACACACAAGACATCACAGTATGACGACTGACAGGTGGCCTTAAATGAATAGTGGGGACCCTGAGGCCTGAGGGAAAACAAGTTTTCGGATGTTCATTTTCCTTCATATATCCCCAACTTGGAGCTGAAGAAGCTAACGACCCAGAAGCACAAGCTGTCAGCAACATACAACCCACCAGAGTATAACAAATGGACTGACAAGTGCTGAATACACAGTAGCACACACAATAATTCAACAGTGTTGACATGTTTAATTCAGTAACATTAACATTAATCACACTGAGTTATCCAACCATTCTTACCCTCCTTTTCCTAACTCTTCTTCCCCCATTACTATACATTCAGTCTCAAAAGTTTCCCATCTAACCTTTCTTTCAGGTCAATTGTATTCAAAAGTTCATGCAGTCTCCATGGCATTAAGCACGTCTGATTCCAATAGAATTTTAAATTCTAAGGTTTCTAATTACAACATGGATTGGCAGCATTTTTTCTATAAAGGGCTAGAGAGTCAATGCTTTGGGCTTCAAGAGCCCTAAGGTTTCTGTAGGAACTTCTCAACTTTAACAATGTGGTGCCAAAGCGGTATGCACGTGAAAAGGCAAGTCTGTGTTTCAATAAAAATCCATTTGCAAAAATAAGCATAATTGGTCACAATCATAGTTTACCAAGGTTTGTTCTAGCCCAGGGGTGGGCAAACTTTTGAGATGGAAGAGGCAATCCTGTCCCTCAGAACAATTAAAAAATTATTCAAGAGCCATAAATATACTTTTTGTACATGTATCTTTGAAATGAAACTATGATTGTTTGACATTCATTTTCAATTTTATTTCAGAGCCACATGTATGTACCAGAAGAACTGCATATGGCTCGCAAGCTGTAGTTTGCTGACCCCTCTTCTAGCCCATTTGGTAGGTAGTATTTAAAGTACCTACTGCATGGAGACAC